CTTATAAAAACTTGATTGAAATAAGGAATATTGTTTTCAAATTCTCATCTTAGCGAAAACGAAAAAAACAAAACATTGTTTTAAATATAATCGAGTTATTGTAGTTATGTTTTTTTAAATCATGTATCTTAAGAAGAATGATTAAATTAGGCATATAGTTTACTAAGAAATACTTGATAGTTTCTTCAAAATAAGTAGACTAAGTAGTATTAATCTTTTATTGTGCATGTTTTTGCTAATTGCATATGTTAGCTAACTATATGCATTGATTTCAAAATATGTTTAGTAATATAACTAACTATCATTTAAATGTACACCTCAAGGGACTAAAATAATTCCTAATGTTACAAATGAAACATCTAGTGAGGCTAAGTGACTTACTATTTCATGAAAAACTACATATTGGCTTGGTGAAATATGAAAACCATATATTCAGTACTTTAGTTGAGCATCTTCCCTCAGTTGTTCTTTACATGCTTCACGATTCTTCCACTTCTGTTGTTACTACAACTGTTCTCTGTTACTCTACCTGTTCTCTTTAGTTCAATGTCCAGCTGGTAGCCATTCCACTTGACATTGGTGTCACGTACGACTTATGTCTGTCAGTATAAGTGGCAAACATTAATCTATGAAGCCGTCAACTGATAGGAAAATATATTTAATATATATAAACATCTTGGTTGGGATTCATGAAATTATCACAATCTTTAATAAAAGTCTTTGTATGATGTGACTCCAAACTGATCTCACTAGTTCAAGTGCATTCAGTGTTCATCTTTGCATAAAACTTGAATTTTTTATCACATTTTGCATAAAATTTTCCTACGTAACATGTCTTTTTAGTTTTCAGTAACAGTGATATCGTTGTTTCATTACTTCGATTCTTTTTTAGTGTACTGTCGTAATGTGTAGCAATTTAAGCCAGTTCATACTGGTGTTTATGTTTGACAAACAGAGTATCATATATTGCGGTTAAAATAAATACATATGTATTTCTAAACTGTCAATCGTTTATTTATCATAGTGAATAGTTAGGTTACTTGATAAACTACTGAAATAAAATCATTATAAATTACAAGTTATGTGTATGTTAGATATCCACAGATGATCCTGCAGTGTTATCATAAACGTTATATCATTAGTGATCCAATTTTCCTTGAGACAAATCTTTAGTTCATAAACAAGAAATCTAACAAATTCCAACATGCGGATGTGACAAGAGTGGAGTGGCATGTAGGAATCCTTTTCAAGATATTTCTATGGTAAAAAACCTCAGAAAGTTAATTATGCAAAGCACAACAGATGGCTATGACCGTAGATTTGAATTATTGTGTCAAGGATTTTACGGTAATTTAATGACATTTTATGTGTGAAAAGTACTGACAACGATATGTCTCAGAAGTGATCTGAGTTATTTTATTAGAAACAACCGGTTTGGGGAGTGTAAAAACTGTTAAAAATTAACGATTGTGATCCTCAATTTGGTAATCTTTGGTATACAATGATTTTTACGCTAAACCATGTTTTGCATCATCGGATTTCTATTTTACGTACTTATGTATCATGAAAGCTTTAAGTATGTAGGACAAACAAACGTGCATTTACTCACAAATCGTAAAAATGTGATCACGAGAGATTCTGAAACCAGTCACTTATCTCTAACATATTTTAGTTCTTTTTAACTGCGCATATATCACTATGGATTCTAGTATGTGGTGGTGAAAGTAAAATGTCATTAAGTACTGAGCGTCGACAAACAGGCGCTTAGCCTACCGACTGCCAAATATGTTATTTTTATTCCTGTCATCGATTTCTATTCTGGTTTCACTGTGAGTGCTTACTTGTAATTGTACTGAATATAATAACACTTAGCATGTACTCTGGTTTTCTATTCTGGGTCGTGGATTCTGGTTCTGATATGGCGTGACTAGTCTCATTATCGTATTGACGTATTATTATAGGATAATAATATTTTAAACCATTCGTTATGTCAATTTTGTTAATCTTTGGTATTCTGCCTTTTCAAAAACGTCTAATACCAGAAAACGCTTGACATTGATTGATGTTAAAGTTAGCAAACACCAAGCAAAGTGAAAGTACTTATTAGATATTGACATATCCATTACAACTATGTGTTACAGAAGCACTTTATTTAGGTACATGTATACATGAAGATTAAGCTATGCTGTAGAACGTGGAATAGTAATTATAACAGGGTTTCTCAAACTTGTGCGGTCAGCTGAACGAATCAGTCAGTCATACGGATTATTAAACCTGATATATATGTAGGTCAGTTAAGGTTACCCCACTACGTCAAATCAAGATGGAATTATCGAGAAAAAGACCAAATCAGAGAATGTAGTAACGTTCTTCTAAAATACTATATTCGGATCATGTACATGTTGAACTGCTGTCGCCACAAGTTTGTGGTGTATATCAAAGTTATTTTATGTACACAGTTTAATGTTTCACTGTGTCAACGATACTCATGGATGAAATATTTGAACTAATGTACTCTTAAGGCAAAACCATTCAAACCTGTCGTTTCCTAACTGTGTGAGTCTTATGTCATCAAAGTTTGTTATACCGGGTTACTTAGAAAACATAACGTTGAAATCAAAGCAAAGTGTGACATTGTTTTGGTGGGATCATAGCTAGTATAATCCAACTGATAAATACTACCGGTCTTCGTATTACCTCACTGATATAGAAATAAAACTAAATGATGAACTTCAGATAATATTCAAGTACTAATCAGTTAAAAAATATGTTTTTGAGTACAGTGAGTGTATGGTCTAGCAATTAATGCAAAATTAGGAAGTGGTAAAGTGAAAATAATTTTTTAGCGTGGAAACAAATATAAAAAGTTTGTGAATTGTCGTTCAATGTGAAACAATAAGTTCAACTAGTATACCGTAGGTCGCAGCACGAAATGCACAAAACTTATCAGTTGATAAGATTACTGCAAGTTTTGTTGCTTCTGGCTTAAATTTCTAGTTTGTATAAGAGCGTGATGGCTATCAAGAACCACAATCTTTTCTATGTAGTGAAATCTGTTTGGAATGTCTTGCCTCAACTTGTGTGAAAGAGTCCACCTTAGTAAATAATTTATAGGTATGACATAAAAAGATGAAACATATCATCATTCAGCACTAGAACTGAGCTGCCAGTTGTATATTGGGAAAAAGGCTGCTTACCAACATTTTTGATTTTGTGAATTCAGTGTAAAACCAGATATTGAAGCCACTTGAGTCCATAAGACTGTAAATCTTTTTGAGCAATTGATGATTCCCATTTTTTAATTTAGGTATTGCTGACACAACTGTTCCATCACACTTGCGTAATGTTTCGAAGAGATACATGATCAAATACTTAAAATTCCCTAAAATACTTTCGTCTTTATAAGATGCGTCACACGGTACATTGATGCCCATTATGCCTTCTTTTATATAGCTCAACAGAAATTTATTTTCTATACGGAAATTGATGTAGTTCTTTAAACACAAAGGGAAGCTTGGATTTCTTTAGTCATCAACAATTACATCTGGAGAGCTGCCGAATAGACTGATTCTGCAGCTTGTGATATTAGCCACTGCCATAGATACTTTGGTTGATGCTAACGCGTGCTTTGATTAACGTTACTAATCACCCAAAACGTTCTGTGATCATTACACTTTGTTATTCGCAAATTAAAACAGGTGATGGGCTTCCAATCATTTTATTACTCACGTACTGATATGGAGTTTCTCATATACTTTCATTGTAGAATTTATTCCAAAATGCATAACATCCACGTGTGGTGAGTAAATTGTGTCGGTTTATTTGGAAATGATATGACAATATATGTTCAGGAAACTGGGGTTGGTTTCAAGCCCAGTTAATTCAGGAAGTTAGAAAGATCAAGTATAACAGATAAGATTACTTCCTAGCATAAATCAGTCGGCATTAAATTCAAATGTCCTGAGATATTCATCACACCCTCAATATTCTAAAAATTTATGAATTATCGGTCGAGCGTATCAAGAGAACTAAATTCATTTTTAAAGGTACTCTCTGAAACAAAAATTTATTATTGTGATTAAACAAAGATAGATGGACGTGATCATTCCCACTTGAGATATATCAAGAGCTACGAATGAACCAGTCGTCATCAATGAAGACAATAGATCAGATAACCTGCTTTAGTCTTTGCAGCAGATAGTCTAAATATCGTTTTACTTATTCATTTGTTTCCATGTCAAACACCTGTTTAAAATTTCCTTTCAGAGCCACTTAAATAGCATTCATTTACTGTAAAACATGATTGGAATTCTATAAATAAGAAAGATCCTAAGACATTCTATATCTGAAAAGTGGAGTGAGTGACCGATTTCAACTTTATGCATTTGTATATGTTTAATCTGCCTGGTCTCAACCGCAAATAGAAGTGACACAAATATAATTCTACGTAAACTGAGAGTTTTAATTTTTGAACTAAAATTGGGGCAATCCTGTTGCGCCAAATGACGTCATTTTGAATAACTTATAGTTTTACGAACAACATATACTGGAAATTATCAGTTTTGTATTGACCAAGCTCGACTTCGAGCCTATGGAAGTGCTCAAATGGCAACAACCTCACTGGTTATGCCTAATTTTTTTATTGAAAGGATGCAGAATACGGTTAAAAACTTGGACAAAAATGACTGAAACATTTAGTTTAGCATCTTCAATTGACATTATAAACCAACATAAACGGTTTTCTTGGTCCATAGTTTGATAAAATTAGTATATGTTGTTTTCAAAAATCGGAACAAAAATATGGTTTAGATGGTTTTATTCCTGAGTTCATGGGGATGCATCGCTCGTTCAGATCATTATAATAAGAACAAACCCTGCAAGTCGATTAATACACGAAATGTTAACAAACAAACTAACTATGCCAATTATTGAGCAAAACTTAATGAAAAAACGGAGTCCTTTCTGTTTACAGTCGAATAAACTCTAAATACCATGCTAACCTTTATGAATGAGTGTAAACTTGTTGGAAAGTATGAAAACGCGCCACGCATTTCATCACCTGAGAGCGCAGTTAAAGATCAGTCTTCAGTAATAAGAAGAGTAGATTGGTGAACCCGTGTTAATCCTGATAGATTGCATTCCAGCGAAGGCCCATCTTCTCATTGAAAATATTCACTGATGGGGCTGATTCGGGTAAGTCATTTCGGTTTGTGAACCATCTTGCTGTGACCTCGGAGATCATTAGTGCTGGAGGGAGCAAAAATATCAGACATATTAGCACCCAATTCACAATAAGGTAACCTCTCGTCCTACGATACGACAAGGGGATCAAACTCTACAGGTTGAGGCTGATGAAACAATTCTTTATATGAGGCTATTTCTATGTTATGAGGAAGATCGTTCATTATCTTATGTCATATGAATAATTGTAAAAGCCACTATTTCACAGTAATTTGCTGAACGTATATTACTGTTTTGTATACTGTGATATGGATGGATGACGTCTCAATAGGTCCAAAAGTTTGCAGTGGATTCGCCATTTACTCTAGCATCCGGTGCCTAACATTGACATTAGTCATTCAAATATTTTGTAATGGCTGGTGCTGTATCAAGCCCACACATGTAATTTTAGCTTCTGGACAAACCAATTTTTCTCCATTCCCGTAAAGTCACATTTTGACGTTGTCGCATACTCACTTATTAACCCTCACTGTTTTTCATATTATTGTAGCTGTGTCATTTGCTTACCCTACTCATCTAGCGTCGATAACTTATTTTTAGTCTGACTATAAATATTGAGAAACGTTGGGTTGAGTGAACTTGGTTCACTCAACTCCACTGAGCATCATTTCGTTTCATCTTGCTACTCCCTCTTCACTCCCTTCGCCTCGTTCCCCTGATTGTCTCTCTATGTGAGTGAGTGTACGAAATATATGTATTTGATTTAATTCCATTCCGTTATTCCTCAACGTGATAAAAATAATGATTATATGCGATGATTTGCAGCATGCATATTTAAAATAACATTCACCACCAAACGATTTAATTGGAGTCGAAAAAGAGGGCCGCTAAATTTCAGCAAATATGAGGATCCTCTTGGAGAAGTTCATGACAAGATTCCAGTAGGTTTTGAGTGTTCTCCAGGTTTGAAATCCACAGGCCTCAAGGAAAACCTCAAACTGCTTTCCAGTGTTTTCATTAACTAGTTGGGAAAGGAGATCTTGAATAAGCCATAGAGGATGCAAACAAGCGACAATAGGATGTGTTTATCAAATCTTATTGATATTTTATTAAATAATAACATTACTGAGGTACTTAACATGATCATCCACCAACAGACTAATTTCGACGTTTGAATCTATGCGTACTATCGGTAAATTAAGAATGCCTAGTAAAATCGTTTATTATTATTATTATTATTATTATTATTATTATTATTATTATTATTATTAATGGCTTTATTCAATATTATATTTTTGGTACAATATAGAATTCTCAGCACAGGGTTTAGTCGGAATCTGTAAAAAACCGATCCATTCAAAATTTGTGATGAGCCTATAATATGGTCGCTTTACACTTAATTACGGTGAGAATATTTGTTTCGAGATTCTACGCGTAGTTGGCTATGAATACTTCTTCATTTGATTTTATCCTCATTGACTACAATTTAGGGGTGTTATGCCATGCTTTGATATTTTACGTATCTTCAGTGGGGCCACTATGCAGAATTCCTGCAGTCACTCTTCATTGAATAATTCCTTATCATCCAATACTTCTTTTCAAGACGATTTTCAAAGTACTTCAAGAGAATGCGGTATTTGTTCAAACAAAAATAAAGTATGAGTACACGAGAGTACACAAAAGAGGTGGGGGGTTAGTAGATTAAACGAGGGCTATTTCTAAGGTGTGCATATCTAGAGAACTACTACTGTGTTGTGTGCTAATCATGTCCACACAGAGGTCATATAACTACAGTCAGGAATAAAAGGTCTGGCAGCAGAAGTTTGAAAAGATCGAGATGGTAAGAATGAGAACAGAAAGTAATTGGATTAAAAATGCAGGGACAATGAAGTGTGAGACAATTAATGTATATTTTGCAAGTGAAGTGTTGGTGTTTTTTTAAAAATTTTATCACATTACTTTGTAACTTATGCTAAATCTAATCGGTTGTCCTCACCTATGTTTTCCTTCACTAAGCTACTACTGCTGTAACTAAATCCTTTATCTAAGTAAACACGATCTTAAGAGGTTGATGTTGAGAGCAGTTAATATAATTGACGCGTTTCGATAGCATACGAATGCTTTTACCAGCTCAGATTTCAGTCTTTATTGGTAGAGATAGCAAGTAGATTTGCTTATGCCTATTCTTACAGCTTGTTTTCCAATGGAGATACAGCTTCTTAATGAATGTGTTCACTGATGGGCCTGATACCATTTATTCCAGTAATGAACTTTTCAGTCTCTGAGCACTCGATCAGCAAAAGGTAACTCACTCCGTGTTTATAAGATCGCGGTTTTGAACCCTATATTTATGGCCTCGAAAATGATCAGTTATAAGTGGAGCAAAACGATAAAACATGTTACCTCATGTTAAACTCACTACTATTCGTTTTCCTTCATATTTTGACATCATCCCCAAAGAATAATTAACGTAGAGAAGAAATAATTAAGGAACAAAAATGATGGATAACCACTTTTAACCAGCTTTAATTTAGGTAGTGTTCCATTTGCTATCATCCTCTATCTCCTGCCACAGAGTCATCTTCTGAACAGTTAAGTGAATAATAAAAACTCCAGTACCGATTACTGCTAAAGATTTATATATCGGTGAACATTTGGAAAAACTCTGTTTCAATATGATTTGTACAATATTTTGTTGTTTGGAACTGGCTGTCTACCGTTATGTTTCAAAAAGCCGGGGTGGAAACTGTACAGTAAAGTCCGTAAAATCGATCTTTAGGACTCAATTGACAAATTTGTTAAGGTGGAGTTCAGTGAGACCATCAAAGTCAATAGTAATTGATGTTAGCTGAAGCTATATTGGACTGTTAAGGTGAAATTTTCTGGTGAGTTGACAGTCAAACAGATTATTAGTTCAACATGAATTGTGAAAGTTCACAGGTTATTCGGCATCTCCAGAACTATTTAAATGATAAAACGACGATCAAACGACTTATTAGCACATTGAATTTTGCGAGTTGATATATTAGTCGCTATTCACACCATGTTGTTGTGCAACTTATAATTTCATTATCTAGTCGTGCTGTGTAGATAATGTTTGTAGCATTCGTATTTGTGATTCACGAGACAGAAGTTTTACGATTTAATAGCTGAAAGTTGTAAAGACATGCTTGTCTATTTAGTAAAGTATCAAAGTGTTAATATTTCGCTTCGCAACAGTGAACCACAAAATCCGTTTTCCCAGTTCTGTGATCAGTAATAACGTGCTTTGTTTTTTATAAGACTAATAAATGTGATGTATTGCATTTGACTCATTAGGATGTAACTCAGATTTTACGTCGATGTCATATCATATTCCACACAGATTGCCCCTGTCGTGGCGACCGGGGAATAATTTCTAAGAACCTTTGAAGAATAAGCCGAACCTGTCGACATTATGATATGCTTACCATGAAGAGGTATTGTTGCTCATGGTAGATCCATAAAGTCTCAACCTTCTTGCACTTCGTCTACAGTTTCTATGGATCATCGTTACGAAGCATGATGTACATAAGTCTGTGCACTGAGTCATAAAACAGGTTGGACGAAAATATCAGTTGAATCCAGACGAATGGAAACAAATTTGGCTGGACATGTGGCACCCGCAAGTTAGCTTGCATAAGCGTTAAGATCCATATTCACTGAAGAAAACAAGGGATCGGGAGTCGGAGTGCCATTCTGCAAACGAGTTGTGCTGTAGCGAACCCGGGCCAACAAAATCGTCCTGGTGTGAGTGTGATGGCTGATGGTGTGTGAACCAACCCCACTGCGCACCCGTGTTTCGCTTCATTAGCTGAGATACTCTGATTGTCTTTTCAGAACGAGTGCACAAAACACATGTATCGGAGTCCATTCTCGTATTTGACTTATATACTTCCGTTATTCACTGAAACGAGTTAGGTTGATGATTTTGTTCGAGGACTGACGACATGTATATTGCAATAAAATTCATATGATTTAATTGGAATCAGATATAGATCCACTAAAGTGGTGAGCCCGTGATTCGAACATGCGATCTTCTGACCTGCAGTCAGAATTGGGGCCACCAAAGCGGTGGGCACGTTGACAACATCGTCTAGTCAAATTGATGTCAAAATAAAGGGCTTCACTAAAGGATAGTGTGTGTTCAGCAAAACTAATTAAATCAGCACCACTGTCGAAGACTTACAGAAGTTTATTTTGGAGATTTATTTATCCCTACAGGAACTATTATTGACATCGATGAACTGGAATCACAAAATAATGTCGACAACTTGACTCAGAAACGGGTGTTAATAAATAAACTCAGTCAAAACTATACTTAATAATCAATACATTAAAAGTAATCAATGAACTTTTGATGAGACACAACTAGGATATGGATGTTTTCATAAGCAATTATTTGAGAACAACCTTAAAATAGGTCTTCAGAGGTAGCAAATTTTGTCCCGTTACGTATTCTCTTCCGAGTTTCTTAATATCTAGCATTGCTTCGAATTTTTTGTGTCGTTCACCGAAGAATACTGCGTTTATTCAGCCAGTTAATGTGCTTGTGTTTATTTATTTTTTTGAACACACAAATATTGGTACAAGAGGGCAACAAATATATATGCGCCACACATATGCTTGTGTTCTTTAGGGTATTAAAATATTAGATAATGAAGTTGCGATAATATTTCTTTACCAATCACATCAAGAGAAACTGAAACGAATGAATCTACTTTGAGAACAACATGTCCTGTTCTCATTTTCTCCGAGTAGTAGTTATCTTACACAAAATGACAAATTGGTTTAAAATCCACTATCCATGAATGAAATAAGTTTTACATATAAGATGATTCATTATTAGAACAAATTAAATGTGT